AAACCATGCAACAAGTGGGAAAACCAGAGAGCGGCGGAGGAGTAGGAGGAGGTGGGAATACGTTCTCCGTCTGCGCGGTTACACAACAAGCAGGGAGCGAAAGCAAGCGTAGTCGTGAACAGAAGATTGGGGATCAAAGGACAATTGAAAAGTAAAACAGGATGTGTGTTTGTATCTGCTATGGGATGTGAGGAAAAAATACAACAGCTGGGCTGAAAACAGCAGTCCTCCGCTTCAGTAAGGCAGTCTTTTGAAAGAGGAATAAAGCCTAAAAAAAAAGAAAAGAAAGAAAAGAAAACCTGAGGGAGGTGGGCGACATTGAGTGCTAACCATTACATGTTCCTGTGGCTCTAAAGTGCTCCGGCGCCGCAGTGGTCAGGTCACAAAAGCTTTTCTTTTTTTTGTTCGTGTCCATTTTGTGCCTCCAGACTTCTGATTGCAGAGCCGGAGGCCACGCGGGGCAGACTTAGACGGCTACGCGCGCAACGCCGCAAGAGAACGAGCGGCCCTCGCGTTGCGGAAATTAAAAGTCGCCCAGGTCGTTGCGATTGCTCACGTCTAATTAATTAAATCAGCAGCTGAGATATTCCATAATTGTGGCTGTGGTACCTGGCTAACCACCAGTGGAAAAAAAGGAATCCATTGGGAGATGCAGTTGGTAATTGTTTGAGCTACCGGCCTGGAAACACTGTTGTCGAAGCGTCTTTGGTCAGTATCCAGGAAGCCGGATGCTTTTTTCTCTGCCCTCAAACATCATTAATCTGCGAGTGTATCCCACAGATCTCTACAAAATGCTCTCACATGATGGGAACCCTGGCGTGAACCTAACAAACAGCCAACAGATTAAAAAGGACTCGGTGACTTCAGTTTCATTCCATTTTTGTACAAAAACCTCACATGGGTTCTTAGACACATGTAGCTGAGACAACACAGGGTACATTGGAAATTAAACCTGATTGTCAGGGTTTATTTAATCTTTTTTTTCCTTTTTTTTGCCCCTAAATGCGACACAACAGTTAGTAAATAAATGTTACATCCACATTTCTTTTACGTGAGACGAGCACAACACCAGACTGGGTCCTCAATAACATTGTCCCATGTAACAGTAGACATAACAGAGCTGAAGTTGAACCGCTTTGAGGGGAGAGAAACAAACAAAAAATTGCTTGACACAGATCTACAGCCACTCTGAAGCTAAAAAGGATCTCCGACTAGTTGGAACAAAAGACCTTATTTAATTAATTCTTTCAGCTATAAATGAGGCCATAAAAATACTGTAGGCTGTTTAGTTTTTATAATTAGTTTAAAAATAGATGACACGCGGAAGTCGCCATTTTATTTATACTGCAGTGCATTCTGGGTACAGAACAACAGACAGGTTGCTTCGGTGCGAGCTCCGTTCAGCTTGAATGCTAATTTTGGACATTATCAGACGTTCAGCAGCCCTTTAATTTGAAATGAAGCGCGTTGACAGAGAGGAGAACGTTGAAATTACTTGGCTTTCACTTTAGCTTCAGAGCTAATATATATAATAATAGCTTTGGAGCTAATACCATTAGATCCAGAGTGAATATATACAATGTTAGCTCCGGAACTAATAGCATTAGCTTTAGAGCTAAGATACGACGTTAGCTTAGATCTACAGTAGATCTAATAGTGTTAGCTCAAGAGTTAAGGCGTCAGCTCAAGCGCTATTATATGATGTTAGATTCAGAGCTAACATGTAAAATGTTAACTTTGGGGCTAATACCGTATAGCTCCAGAGCTAATATGATGTTAGCTCCACAACTAATAGTATTAGCTTCAGAGTTAAGATATGATGAAGTGTTGTGTGTTGTCATCATTGTATGTTCCCATATAATGGCGAAATTGGCTCTCTGCATTTAACCCATTGCATCTGGGATACACTCAGGTGGAGCAGTGGACAGCTATTGAAGGCACCTGGGGAGAAATAGGGGATATGGTGTTCTGCTCTGAGATATCACGAGACATGCAATAACTGGGGATTGAGCCTGGGACTTTCGGGTCCCGAATCAGCTGCCCTACCTCTACACCATCTCGGCCCCCAATAGATATGACATTAGCTTAGCTCGAGAGCTAATAGCATTAGCTCAAGAGTTATGGCGTTAGCTCAAGAGCTATTATATGATGTTAGCTTCAGAGCTAACATATAAAATGCTAGCTTTGGGGCTAATAACGTTAGCTCCAGAGCTAATAAATACCATGTTAGCTCCGGAACTAACAGCATTTGTTTAAGAGCTAAGATATGACATTAGCTTAGCTCTAGAGCTAATAGCATTAGCTCAAGAATTATGGTGTTAGCTCCAGAGCTAATATAGGCCTATGATGCTAGCTTCAGAGCTAATATACTGTATATGACTTTATCTCTGGAGCTAATAGTGTTAGCTCAAGAGTTATGGCATTAATTCCAGAGCTAATATATGATATTAGCTTCAGATTGAATATACAGTATATATTATGTTAGGTTTGGAGACAATATTGTTAGCTCCTGAGCTAATATATACAATGCTAGCTCTGGAACTAATAGTATTAGCTTCAGAGCTAAGAAATTATGTTAGCTCTGGAGCTAATAGCGTTAGTTAAAGAGTTATGGTGTTAGCTCCAGAGCTAACATATACGACATAAGCGCTGTTAGCTATCAACTAATTGTATAAATGGCTAGAGAAGGCTGGACTGAAGGACAGGACGGAGGCCTTAATCATGGCAGCACATGAACAATAGACGTTGGGGTCTACCAAACCAGACAAGATCCAAGATGGACGCTGTGCCAAGACAATCCTGAGACAGTCCAACACATCATAGCAGGGTGTAAGATCCAGGCATAGATACATGGAAAACTGTAGTATGGACTGGAGGCCCAACAGTCAAAGTCGGAGACGCCACTAAGGGTGGTGGAGAATGGAAGGGCTGAGATACTGTGTGACTTCCAGATCTAGACGGACAAACAGGTGATGGTTAACTAAACTGACAGCGTAAGAACTTTTTATCCTTGACTCATGTTTTAGTCTCCACTACAACCGACGTACGTCATCGGCCCAGAATGCACTGCACTGATAAAACAATGGCCATGTCCTTAGGAGAAATATGTAATTACCATATTTAATTTTTTTTTAAGTAATTGAGTTTTCACGTGTCACAAACACAATTTAGTAGAATAGAGAAATAACATATTAAGGCCAACATGTGCATGTAGTCAGAGATCCCTTTAAATCTTGACCCAAACTGGGGATGAGAGGCACTCACATAAATTCATAATTTTTTTGTTCCCCTCATGATCCAACACTAAAAACACATTTCTTACACACCAAGTAAATCGTTATTTTCTTTAAAGGCCAAAAAAAAAAGCCATCTCTGGTGGCATCAGTCTGGATTAACTCATGAATGTAAGAAACGGCAAATGAGAGAAAGGAGTGAAAAATGTGGCAAAGTGTGAAAAATCTCAAAAATGTCAATCAGAAACACTGCGAGGTTTCTAACATCCTCCGTGCCGCTTAGAGATACAACACCGGTGTGCAGCAGCGTGGCGTTCCACCTGCCCGTTTGATGTGGCGGTTGCTCGCTGCTCGGTGCTCCTTTGTAGTTGCGACGACTCCGGCGGAGGTCATTAATCTTCAGTGAACAGGACAGTGTTTCAATCATCTGATTTAAATGCAAAGTGGGTTATTTTGGCCCCCAAATTGGGATTCAAAGCACGGCGTCTGTTTTCATCAATTAAAAGCAGACGCTCTGTTATCCTTAGTCTTATTTAACGTGCGCCTTGGCGCCACCGACGTCAACTCAAAGAGCGTGGGATCACAGTATTCACGTCTCCGTTGGACCGCTCGTGTATTTCTGGAGAGATTGGCGTCTTTCAGGCAAAGAAAGACGAGTAAACAGAACAAATTAGAGCCACGTTGGCTTTCACAGTGAGAGGGTGGTTTTAACGTTTTTAAATGTTCTATATTTATCTTGCGTTTAAGGTCTTTAGGTGTAAACAAACCCACGTTTTAAATGTGTTGATTAATACCGGAGTCTACGTGTGCCGTTAGGGTTCGGTGGTTTTATTCGTGCTCGTTAGAAACTACATCGATTAGAGATCGTATATGTGCAGGCTGATTTAAAGCCATTGTGTAATTGAGACAGTATTAGTGCCAGAACAATAAAAAAAGATTTTGAATGTTTATGAAGTTCACTGAACAGTCAATTGATAAATAGATCCAGATACGGAATCAGACCGAAACCTAAGATTGCACCTTTATGCACGGCCTGTAGGTAAATTGTTGAGCCACTTTTCTATTAAATACAACGGGGAATAATAAAAAACAGTGTACCACATACGGTACATTATACCCCCGTCGACAAACTATAACCTTGTTTGTGACCTTGACTGTAGAATCAGGGTGATTAGCAGCGTAGAGTGGATTAGAAGTTATGGGCGGGACAAGAGAAAGTTCTCGGACAGACGGAGACTAAATAATACGTCCGTCTTTCAATGAGCGTACAATAATAATAAAGGTATGAGAAATCGTTGGGTATACAATTTGTTTTTAACTTGGTTTTATTTAAAACGCACCATTTCTATTGGTTTACACAGCAGAACTACCTACACGAGTGATTGGCCATGTTACTACTAAAAAAAGGCACATAGAAGTTGTGAAATAATTTTCTTTTAAGACATTTAGGAACTGAAGTATTCACGCAACACAAGCACAAGCTAGGCAACGTGGATCCAGAAAATGTAAAATAAGCGTAAACGGTAGTTTGTCAAAACGTACAACAAAACGTTTTAATTTGCCTTTAAACTTCTCGGGGGCGACCGCCGGGTGGAATGATCCAACGCAACGTATAAAAGTGACTTGTGCCGCGAAACGTTTTTAACTTAAAAGAAGTTGAACCTAGCGTCCTTTTGAGAAATTACAAACAGTACCTGAAGTATCGACGTGGTGGTAACAGTCTAAAAATGTCATAAACAGGCAACTTTATCCGTAGTAGCTGATAATACCGTTGAACCTTTGGTTAACGATGGGAATATTGGAAAAATGTGAGAAGATTGCGTGAATAATTGTGAATTTTTAAAAGTCCCAATTACACAGGCTCTAACTCACAGCAACCGGTCGTCACTGGCGTTGACCTTCGCGCAATAATACCCTGATTCCTTCGTTAGTTTTCAAGTATAAAAGCTCCTCGTCTCATAAGGTCTGCTACTCTGTGAGAACACTGCTACCGTGCTGCTCAGACTCCGGGAACCCTCAGATGCTCTCCTCGTTGCTACAAGTTGGGAATATGTGGGAACTGCTCTTGTTGGCTGACCTCTAGGCTCGTGTTCGTGTTGTGAAAGTTGTGGGACTGCGGTTTATTTTTATGGGACGAACAGCGAGAGATAAATAATAATAACAATAATAAGGGAGAGGTGAGATTTCCCCGTGCACTTTGTTGTAATTTTCATGGAGAACATTCGGTTCCAAATGTTAATTGGTTGATGACTAAGCTTTCTCTGAATCATCAGTGTTTGGTATTTAGAACGCCCTGTTTGCTGATGCTTTTAATGTACTTAAAGATCGACTCCAAGCGGTCGATTTCGAGTGGAGTTGGTGTTAATGTGTGTCCGCGGCCTCCAGCCAGCGAGCGTACCTGGAAACGCTAGAAGACGGGGTGGAAAAAGAAAAGTGAGAATGGCGTTTTTTTTCAGGTTTGTGTTTGTCCTCCTGACTCGTGTGAGAACATACGCCAGTGTCCCAGTTCAGAAAGATATGTCTGGCAAATCGTTTCCTGTATTGCAGTCCCTCCGGTGCTGCTCCACAATACTGTCCAGGAGGGGGAGGCAAGGTGAGACTTTCAGCCCCACAACAGTCCAGTTAGAGCTCATCTCTGCTTTATTACCTTTTGTTGCAGTTCTTTTTTTTTTTTGTCTGTGGCTTTTCCTAGCCTCCAGTCGGCCAAAGGGTGGGACTGAAATGTCGTGTGAGGTTATGTCTCCTCCTTGCTGGGTTTACTGACGGGTTTTCCCCCATTCATGACCACGGGCTCACAGGTTGTGCTTTTGGAAGGCGGGCCCCCTGCGAGTTTAGGCACCGCCTCTCCTACATCATGTAACGATGGCTCTCGGTACATTGCAACTAGAAGGATCGAAAGAAGGAAAAACTTTGTTACGGAGCTTTTTTTTAAAATCTGAACCCAAACTGAAGTTGAACTCTTACCTTCTATGGGTTTAGGCAGGAAGTGAGCAGCTGGTTTGGTCTTCTTGACCCTGTTGCCTTTCATAATCTGTCCCTCTTTATTGAGGCCCAGAAACCAGGCCCGGCCTGACTCCTTCTGTCTGTAGAGCATCGAGCTGTAGATCACGTAGTAGTTCTCAAACACAGACTCTTTAAACTTGCACTCAGCTGTAAACAGTTCCTGAAAAGACATAAACACATTGATCATGTTATTTAACGGCTTTCACCAACTCTCCTTTTGTAGTTGCACCAAGTACCGTAGTGCTCTGCTCCGATAAAACTACAACCAAGAAGATTGTAGATGCTAATAAAACTCAGCTAGAGATGACACAGCTGCAGGCCGTCACAGACACTGTAAACCCTGATGTATTAATGAATATTTTTGTAACTGTTGACAGATTTGGTGGATGAATCTGTTGTTTTGTTGCCCACATTTTAAACATTTGTAAAGTTTTATAATGTTTTTATAGTCTATAATTTGCTTTGTTTGCTGTTAGTGACAGTTTTCGAAGCTTCCTGTCAGAAAGACAACAGGGTCCACATTAATCCATCTTGCTCCAATAAACTGAGCACAGGGGTTCCTCAGGGATGTGTGCTCAGTCCTCTACTTTTTTCACTGCTGGCACATGATGTTTGGTCAAAATCAGCACAAGTCTGCATTAATTATTAGTCCATTTCTTGTGTAAAAAACTAAAAACTTAATGATCACTACTTAAATATATTATTGCTGCTTTTCACTTTTAACTCCCTCACAAATCTATATGGTAAAACTTGGACGGATATCTTTGTGAATATTAAGCATGCTGACCAAGCACAGTGAAAACACGGCAAAGAAAGAGTGAAGTACTCCTGCAACTTGCATAATTACCCCGACGCATACAAACTAATCTCTGAAAAAATGCTCGATTTCCGTGACACAAAGCCCAAAGCATCTCACCTTCCCACCCGCATCTGCTCAGCTGTTATGTGTCAGAACTCTTTTCCATGGGTGCCGTCGCCTCCAGCAGAGCATGTTTCAGCACAGACAAGGTGTTATTCTAACTGAGAGAAAAATCCTCGCTTCCTTGTGCCTGCTTGTTCTACCCAGTCCCAGCAAGCATAAGAAGGCAGCTTCAGATAAAATATTCCTCTTTTGGGGTGAGGTCAGAGCTGAGGCAGTCTCAGATATCACCAAACTTTCAGAATGCATATCAGCAAGCTGCAAATGTGTTTTTTTAACAATACGTACAGTGCATCTGAAATCTGTTGACAGAGAATTTTAATTTCTAAAGAGAATTTCTATTTGTAGTTCACATTTGCAGCATTGATACAAGCTAACAAATTTATTAAGCTTGGTTTAGTTTTTATGTGTAAAAAGACCACAAGAGGTTTTTATACAAGGAGAGAATGACAAATATTAACAGTAATACATTTAGACAGAATAATATGTAAAAAGAAAACCTAAAAGCCTTTGCAAAGATGAGAGAACAAAACATATTTTGTAATTCTGTACAGCCAAATTAACAGATGTATAGCGCTTTGGACATTATGAATATTATTCAACCTTTTCATTTTATAGAAAAAATAGTGCTTTAAAATTAAACAAAACATCAACCGTGTTTATCAAACAGGGAATTATATTGTTTAACACATAAAAATGAACAAAATGAGACATCTGCTGAAGGAATAGGAGAAACAGAGTTAATATACAGGTCCTCGTATGATGAGAAGGTTCCTGCCAACCCAAACAATCGTTCCCGAGGTCCCTCGACCCCAGATAGGTAAGCGTTTGTCTAGACTGTCTCTTATTGGTTCCTGTAGGCCTCTTGCCAGAGCCACAGACACATTGTCATTCAGCTCAGGTCTGTCGGTCCGAGTCTCATAGCAACATGAGGAAGAGAGGCGACACTGTAGTCGTGGCAACCAACCAGCGCCGAGAGGGAGGGGTCGACGAGTGTGTCTATGAGAGGCTACGATTGTGACAAACACACACTTGCATTGGTAATTTACCAGCAATAATGTGCCGTATCTCCTGCTCCACCACAGCCACTCCAGCTAACGTAGAAGTGACACACTTATTAAAGGCAGCGCAATCAGACGGTGGTGCACGCACAAACACACACTTGTGGCTCCAGGGGACGAGTCGAGGGATGTGAAATGGGACCAAACCACTGGTTGGCAGCAGAACAAGACGGGTGATAATGAATGCTTTATTTATTGGCAATGTCATCTGCATACAAACGCAACCGTAGCCCGCCCTGACAAATCAAACGCTCGCATTCGGTTGCCACGGTTTTGGTTTGCTGCTCCCCGAGTTTGCTTCACTATGTTTTATTCTGGGATTAAATAACCTAATTATATATGTATTTAGTCAGGACCTGCAACCCTGGATTCATTATTCATCTGTTAAAAAGGATGGTCTTTGCTGGTGGGCAAGGAGCAGTGCCAGACACTTATTAATGTTGGTCAGTTAGGTCATTCATCATTTAATAGCGCTTTTAGAATAAAAGAAATCTGATGTCTAAAGCAGCAGCAACTATTCCAGAGAGAATAAGTGAGCTGTTAGAATGAGCTGAGGTGAAAACCTCCCAGCGTTACAGGTGAGTCATTTTCTCAGAAACTGCCCGCCTGAATGCGCTCCTGTCGTCATTTCTAAACAGCCATGTTCACGAGCTGCCCACGGACAGGAGACGGGGAGAAATGAATGAAAGGAATGGAGGGCGGGGTGTAAGGAGGGGTTGGAAATTGGGACGCGAAGGAGAGGAGAGAGAGAATAAATCACCAAGTGAGGAGGACGACGCCTCCTGATTGGAAAAACAGCAGGGGATTCTCTCTCCCACCCTCTTGTCTGCTCTCATCTTCGGATTTCTCTCGTCGCTTATCCCCCACCACTTCTCTGTGCCCCGCGGAGATTCAGAGCGCACGCCCATGCACATTGTTTTCTTCTGAGTTGCGGTCACACACGTGCACGCGCACCCGGCTGAACTGTTGATCAACCAGCCATGATGAGACCGAAGAGCCCATTAGCATGTTAGACATCCTGCGACGAAACAGCCTTAATTGGTACAGACAGCGTTTGGTCCCTCGTCAATTAAAGGCCCAAAAATAAGAATTTCAAAACGGGGGAGCTATTTCAAATCCTGGCACGGTGCACGGCAGCGCTAATACCAAAACTTGGCAAGTAGCTGGATCGTCCCGGTCGCAGCACACGCACGGCACAACAATAAAACTCTGTATTATTACCACTGCAGAGAACGCTCTGTGGCCTTTTTTTGTTCGTTACCAAAAGCTGCTAATCTGCATCAGGAACATGTGTTGTTGAGGAGAGACTAATGAGCTGCAAGTAGGGAAAGTTCAAGAGATGCTGAAAGACTGCATCCAATTCTCATGCCAAGATTTCGGCTGACTGATTCAGTCCCATTAGTTGTAACTTCCAGATAAATGTACTTAAAGTGGCTTCATAGCACAGCTAGACTGAATCTAAAGCCGGCTTTTAATCTAATCTTTTTGATCTACACCAACATCACCATATCTGCACAGGTAAAACCATAGGGCCTTCTGTGCCTTCAGAGAAGGCCCATAAATTCAGCACATATGAAATGCTATATTGAAATTTTCATTTATTTAGATTTAGAATTGCGCCGCTCAAGGTGGCTGCATGTTGGAGCAGCTCTGTTACTTTCATTCTGAGATTTTGCTCTTGGAAACTGTGATTCCTCTTTTTCTAGATGTGGGTCGTGTTTTTTGGATGGTGGTTTTCTCTGGTATCAGATGCTGTGCAGCTGGAAGGATTTTTGTTGAAACTTTTTTTAGTTTTGGACATTTGTTATGATGCGTAACCATGGCAACAAGGCATTTTTCTACAACCAACAGCAGCTGATTAACATCTCAAAAGCTCAAATAATATCTCAACTACAGCCCCAAATCTCAAATGAGTTGAAAAGGATGTTCTGTGGATGCATTCTCATCTACCTGCCAGTTGTGCTCAAGTGTCTGACCACTGAGATCCTGGAACTAGCAGGAAACACGGCTCATGACAGTGGAAGGACAGGATCATCCCTCGGCACCTACAGTTGGCTGTCCGCAGTGACGAGGAGCTCGGCAGACTGCTGGGAGGAATGGCCATCGCTCTGGGAGGAGTTCTGCCTGGCATTCGGGTGGTCCTACAGCCTGGGGGAACCGAGAGGCCAGCCGAGTCTGGGTGGACGGATCAGACGGCATCTGCAGCCAGTTTCTTAGGATCCACTGTGGGATGAACCTTTAGAGATCCTTCCAGTCTACAGCCATCAGTATCTTTTTTTTTTTTTTTTTAATTTTTATTTATCAGGAGAATATATAATTGACATTACATACATTATACAAAATTGACATGACTTCTCCAATTTTTTCTTTTTTTTCTTCCCCCTTTTCCCCCCTCCCTCCCCTCTTCCCCTCCCTCCCCTTCCCCCCTTAACCAAAAACAAGACAAAATAAGGAAAGAAAAAAAAAAAGGAGAGAGAAAAAAAAAAAAAAAAAAAAAAAGAGAGAGAGGGGGAGGAGGAACGAACAGGAGGGACCCAACAAACCAAAAGGAAAACAGTATTTCAGTCTTTCATTTATCCTCTAAAAACAAGTCACATGGTAATGTGATGAGTCAATCATATCAGTCTATACGCTATGAAGGTAAAGATTTTACATATGACACAAAGGGTGTCCACTTGTGGGTAAATTTTTCTGAACTACCTTTCACTGTTAGTAAAATTTTTTCCATCTTCAAGTATGATCTTACAGTATTAAGCCATTGTGATGTGGATGGTGGTGTGGGAGATTTCCAGGCGAGCAAAATACAACGTCTGGCAAGGAGAGAGCAAAAGGCCAAGACCTCCCCCTGCTGACGGGATAGATTAAGTGTGGTCCCAGGAACTCCAAAAATAGCAATAAGTGGATCACTTTGAAACTGAATCTTAAAAACTCCTGAGAGTATGGAGAAAAAATATTTCCAAAACCCTTGCAGTTTTGGGCAGAAAAAGAACATATGACTTAAGTTGCAAGGTGAAGTCTGACATCTATCACACTGGTCTGGTATTGAGGGGAACATTTTAGATAAACGTGTTTTTGAGAAGTGTACTCTATTTATTACTTTAAATTGTATTAACTGTAGTCTGGCACATGGTGTACTCTGACGTATGCTGAGAATAACTTTATCCCACCATGAATCTGATA